TGAGCTCTTTTCTGACCTTTGCAGGCAGTTGAGCAAAATACGAATGTTCAGACAAACCATTTTTTGTTTCGGCAGCACTGAAGGAAAATAACAAGAAACATTAACTATCGTGCTTTAGATCAAACGAGGGACAGATTTATTGAGGGAGGTGCAAGGAAGCTCTAGCTTCCTTTCCCCTTTCCCCTCACTGAGGATGGGGTGTGCCCACTGTCACACGGGCTGTCCTTTCTGTCCCCCCATGGTTGTGGGAGCTCTGAATTTAAACAGTGATAAATGCTTTTTTAGTCAATGGATGGCATAAGTTAAAATACATTAAAAAATAAAAATATGCTTACTTCTATTTTGTCCTTGAATTTTCAAGGGTTTGTTTTGGTGTAGATCTATTTACTGTAGCTTCCAGGTGGCAGCTAACATGATATTTGGGAGCAGACAGTTTCCAGGTCGGCACAGCTTACTACTTGAGCATAGGAACAATCTGTTTTTAAGGTGGGTTAAAGACAGGAGTTCAGTCACAGCGATCCAATCCAACTTCATGATTCAGGATCATCTTTAGATACAAAGAGTGCTGAGACAGAGAAAAAAAAAAGCCAATATCAGGTATTTCTAAGACTACACAGCTGGCTCCTTTTAGAAGGCTGTGCAGGTCATCCACAGCAGTCAGCTCCTAGACTTTTATCTCTGCTCTTCTCTTTTCCAGCCTCTCTTCTCATTTCAGTGTTTGCTCACTCGTAGCAGCACATGTCCACTTTGCATTTTTCCTACTTGGGAATCTATGTCTGTTCAAGATTGCTTAAGAGAAGTGTTCTTCAGGCTTAGAAATTAGAAGGCTCTTTAAGCATGTTAGACCTGGGTTCTAGGATATATAATTTTTCATTTTTTTATTTATAAGAATAATTTTAGAAGCACTCAAAAATAATTTGAAAACCATTTCTGTGATCTAGGAAAGGAGCCATGCTGATTAGTCTTAAGAATAGCCTTTTCCTTTTCGCTTACTAGAGGTTTGGGACTGTAATACAATTCAGTGGAGTTGGTCTCTTTCAGTATGGCAAAATAACAAGAACTTTAAGTCTGTTATGAAGAAATACAATTTTACTCTACTAGTTATACCACGTTTTAGAGACACGATAAACAAATATTTTTTAATAGGCTGATGTGCATGGAAAGAACAAACTAGCAATCTCCAACCCTAATATATTTTGTGATTGAATCTTCACTACTGGATTTTTACTAGAGGCAATTTTGTATTTTGCTTACTAAAAATATCCGAGGGATTTGATGTGATCTGTGTAGCAGAACAGTATATAAATTTCCTGAAGGCCTGGGGATAGTGTTCTGCTGATGCTGCTGTTAGACAATATGCATGAAGGCGCATCTGCCATGGCTTTTTCCCTGGCCCATGGCTCTAGTGCCACAGGGATGGAATAACAGCACTTCTTAGCACAGCACTGGCATAGAAAAATCTCGTAGGCAAGGAGACTGTTGAGGGTGCGGGGGGACAGGGGCACTTCTGTGAGGTGTCCATCACCCAGCGCTCCTGCGGTGAGCCTGGTGCCAGAGCCATTGCTTCAGGCAGGTTTTGTGATCTCTTCCACACTGCTGGGTTTGTCTTGGTGTGCTGGGGCATAAGGGTTCGTGCAGGGCTCCCGTGTGTTTGTACCGTTCCTGAGCTGTTCCTGAGACTTTGGCCTCGTGCTTGGGACTCCTCCATGTCCTGCAGCCGGAGCAGAATTAGGTAAGCCCTCGATTCAGGAATGTTGTAGCTGTAAGCACAGAAGGATATGGTCCCAAGCAACGTGTGGTGATTACAGGAGTGACCGTTTCCATCCTGTCTCAGTTTTAATTATACATCTTCTTGGTTCTCAAGTGACTCGCGTTGTGGCAGGAGTGTTAGGCTTTGTTTCCTCCCTAGTGCTGATGAGCTGGAGCAGTCTCTGTGTGACTTCTTAGCCTGCTTGATTTTCTGTCCACTTCTGTCCTTCATTTCCAGGTGGGAGTTTTGGTATCGAACTGGGAGGAGATTAAAGTGCTGGGTGCCCTGTCCTTCCTCCTCTCTGTGCGGCCGCCCTCCTCTACTCCTCTGAGGAGGAGCACCCGCTCTCGGCCTGACGCTTGCCACGAGGACAGACGGGGTGTTCGTTTTTGCACTGCAACACTTGATTAAATCCTACAGTTAAAAGCCTGGGCTGTGAGGTGGCAGCTGGCTCCAGCTGTAGGTGGCTGGTGGGCCAGGCTGCCAGGCAAGCTGCTGCCAACAGGGCTACCTGAGGGGTGTCCCGGGCAGGATTTCAGTGCAGATGACAGCCTTCCAAATGCCCCAATTTCCTCTGTAATTAGATTAATTTTACCCTTAGGGCATCTGCCTGCCTCTTCCCTCTGAAGGTAAAAAGTAATATCTGTATCTGCCCCAGTGAGTTTTGGGAAAAAACAGAAAACACGGAGAAAAATGAAGTGAGTTCTCTGGCGTGGGGACCTACAGTTCTTTTTGCTTGAGCAGCCCTCTTCTTGCTGCAAGATTTCTTTGGCTTTAGTAGAATAGTATTTATTACGATTACATTTAAATGGGCCATGTGGTATTTGGAATGGCAGTGAGCACACTATGCTGCAAGGATGGAAACATATGGCAGCGTTCCCTGGGTGGTAAATCTGTGTCGCAGCGCGGGACGGGAGGATTCAGTTGAAACTCTGGCTGTTGAGATTTTGGGAATGTGCGACTTAGTCCTCTAAGCAATTGCCTCCCCAATAACTATATTTATTAGTTGTACATGGATTGATCACGTTACCTTGACGTAGTACTTGCAGAACTGTAATTACAGCCTTGGTAGTTTGGGAGAGCAAATGTACGGGGCTTTTCTTTTTTTTTTTTTTTTTTGCAGGTAATAAAATGGAAAATCCAATTTGCAATTGCAAGGCAAGCCCTTGAGTGATGCATGATCTTCATAGCAGCGATGGTCAGAGGGCTGGGGCTAATCACCATGCTGGCTGCCTTCCCCGGTGGCTCCTGCCGGAAAAGTGAATAGCGAGCTGTGTGAGCCAGTGTGGATTTAGACACACCGGCTTCTAGCTTATTAGGTCCTCTTTGTCACAGTACTTAATCCTGCTTCCTGATCCTTGTTAGAACAGGGCTGCCGAAGTCCCTTAATAAAGGAGAGGGGCGCCAGGCTGCTAACGAGGCGCGGTGGAGCGTGAGGCGGGGGGGCGGTTGCCGGCTGACTGACAGCAGGGCGACAGGCAGGCCCTGCCTGGTGATACTGCCGAGCAGGCCTCAGAGAGCTGACAGATGAGGTAACTCCTTGATAGGCTGATGTGACATGCATGGCATCCTTCCGAACCGTGTAATGGTCTGTCTTTACACCCATTGTGTTAACCCTTTTTACGGAGAGAAACGGGCCGAGGATTAGCTGTAATGCAGAGCAGGCACCAGGCCTGCAGCAGCCCCCAGAGCACGCCTGTGTCTTCGTGCCACTTACACCAGTGCCTTTCAGTTTGAAATGCTAGCACGTCAGGTTGACTACAGTTTTTTTTCTGACAGCTTGGCTCGCTCAGTCTTCAAAACCTTGTAAATTTTTTTTTGTTTTGTTTCCTGTGGTTAAAGATTATTTTTTATTTTATTTGTTTATTACTTCAGATTTGTGGGAGGAGGGTAGGCCTCTCTTCCTCATACAATTCAGGGAAAAAAATTCTAAAATCATGGAATCTTCATGGTTGGAAAGGACCTTTGAGATCATAGAGTCCAACCACAAAACAAACAAACAAACAAAAACAACAAAAGAACCCCCCAGAAACAGACACAAATCAACAATCTCAAGCACTAGAGCATGCCCTAGCATGATTTCTTAATTTAAGAAGCACAGATTTCTTAATTTAATGAACACAAGAAAATATTTCAATGGCTAGACTTTCCTGGACTTCAACCTGTTGTATCCATAATCACAAAGAGTTTCAGTAGAGCATGTACTGTTTTGGTTTTGAGTGGTGAACATTTACAAAACAAACAAACAAACAAAAAAAACCCAAGCCCAAGCACACCTCTAATAGGTTTCTTAAGTCTTCCCATCAACAAAATAAGTAAAACTGGCATGTTGCAAGAATGATGTTTTTGTTTGGTTTTCTCAGTATAGAGAACTCTAACCACAGATCGGCAGTAGGATTTCAGTACAAACAACATTTTTGGACACTGGGAAGGCAAAAAGCCCATTGTGCATCACTTGTTGGCTTTGTGCTTGAAGCAGTGATGGAGAAATGCTTTACAACGCTAAGCCTCGGCAGAGCAAATTCCTACCACAATGTCGTTCTCCTTCCATTCCTGCAAGCTGTGGTGGGGAGGGCCCAACACCTATGCATGTTAAGCCCTGCTTAATACTAACTTCATGGATAAATGTTATCTGCAGTGGGCTGAGTTCAATCCTGCTGTGCACCCTGTAGCAGCACTGAAGTGAGTAGGGTGGAACTGCATCCATCATGGTGAGAGAGCTGGGACTCTTTAGCCTGGAGAAGAGAAGGTTGAGGGGAGACCTTATTCATGCTTCCAAGTGAGGGAGGATGGAGCCGGACTCTTCTCAGTGGTTCCCAGTGACAGGACGAGGGGCAATGGGCACAAGCTGGACCATGGGAAGTTCCACTCCAATGTGAGGAAGAACTTGTTTGGGGTGAGGGTGGCAGAGCCCTGGGACAGGCTGCCCAGGGAGGGTATGGAGTCCCCTTCTCTGGAGATCTTCAAGCCCCACCTGGATGCTCCTGAGTGATGTGCTCTGGGCAGCCCTGCTTTGGCAGGGGAGTTGGGCTGGATGATTTCTAGATGGTCCCTTCCAACTCTGACAATTCCGTGATTCTGTGAACTACTATGTCCTCCTGTTCCTCTCTGCTAAGACTGAAATACTTGCTTTTATTATGGTTCTACTCTCTGAAATGAATGAAAAGTTTTATATTCACAGCAAGATACTTCTTCAAATTTTTAATATTTCAGATTTTTTTCATATGTTGTTTTGCTTAATCCTTTTCAGGTAATTTGGATTTGACTGGCCAAAAGCAAGTCTTCAAAGCAGAGAACAATCCTTGGGTTACCCCTATTGCTGACCAGTTCCAGCTGGGAGTATCTCATGTTTTTGAATACATTCGTTCAGAAACATATAAGTAGTAAGTATTACATGTTGCTTACATACTCTAGCTGTTTGTTTTTTTTTTTTCCCGTGTAGTGCATTTGGCAAAGTGTTATCAGCTACACCCTTCTTTCATATTCCATGCCGTAGCTTGGTGTTCAGGGAAAATATGCAAACCTGTGCATTTATGTTAAGGAATTTTGCTAACAAGAAGGTAAAAAATGTGATTCAGACATGTTAGGAAAGTGCAAAGACTGATACTGTATTGCTTTTGTTATACATTTCAAGGAGCTATGAAGTAACATGAGAGATGTAGAAGAGCAAACATTACAAGCCTTTGAGAAGTAAAAATTTTAAGTATATACAGTAAGGTTTTATAGATTAAAATAGATATTTGTTAAAGTTTTTGGATGCACGTTGTTATGCTTTGAAAGACATGTCCAGAATTTAAACATATTTTGGTCTGGACTGGTTTATAAAAGTCTACAACCCTGATAATTCAAATACAGATACTAGTGCTTTCTTCAACAGTGTAAGGAGAAAAGAATAAACCTCATGCTGGGAATTCTCCATTTTAATTCAAAATTCTGTGTACAAATGCAAAGCATTTGTTAAGGGAACAATGTCTTTAATCATCCACTGAATTGAAATATTTCTTTTCAGTAGACATTTCCATGTTACCAGTCCACAGTAAAACTTCAGATGGGAATTAATTATTACATGTCTGACAACAACCTTGATGCTTCTTCCTAGAACCAGTAGGTAGTACGACACACATACAACCTCTAGGTTGGAAAATCAGTTTTTGCATTTCCTTTTCATTTAAAAAATATCTTTTAATAATTTAGAAGCATTTCTGACAGTTTTTATATGGTAGCTGTCTAAACTCAATTACCAAAGGAGTGTATTCACAAGTGAAGGTTTTGGGATTCCAATTAAGTAACTGAGATATATTTCTATATGAAACTAAACGATCCAGCAACAGCTTTTATTCTTCATTTACAGAATTTAAGTGAAACGGATCACAGATGGGAGAGCAGTTACAAAAATTGTGTCTCAGAGGTGTCCTGATATTTATGCTATAATATGTGTTCTCAAGATAGATTTATTCATAGATTTAAGTAGGCTGCAACACCCTTCTAGTAGTATTCTGTACTACAGATATGGTGTAGGGAAACAGCTCTCTTATCTCCTAAGACCATCCCTTCCCCACAGTCCATTGTGTAGCTGCATCTAGGCTTCTTGACAATGTTTTGTAAATTTTATATTATTGCCAATTTTATATTTCTGTTTGCTGAGCAATCTAGATTAGGGACCCTCACACAGTTCTCACAGGGACAGTTCTGGGCATCATGAGGACAACAAAGTTTAATTCATCACTTTCCTCAACTATTGCTTTGTTTAAATTAGCCATATTACGTTTGCTGTCTTGTTCTTTGCTGAGGTGTAACAGTCTCTTGTTGGCTAATGGGCTGATTTTGATTTTGTCAACAGTAAATATTTGAAGCCTGTGTAGTTGACAGTGTAACCAAAATAGACTACCTGTTAATAGGGGAAAAAAATACAATCAAAGAATCTTTCCATGGCTCGTTCATGGCTTTTGTTTTGATCTTAGAAGCTTTTTCCTTTAAAATGTCAAAGATTAGTGATGAAAACCAAATACATGCAGATGTTAATAATTGGATGTCGGGGTTTTTTATTTATTTTTAGCATCTAACCATTTTATATTTAAACCATAAATTAAAAATATCTGTATAATTTTGTTAAAATCCCAGTAGCAACTTCTCCTGATTCTCGATTGAACTTATTTCACATGCTATAAAGAGAGTTTGTGGATTTTACTGCTGAAAAAAGATTATCCTGTTTATTTCCAGGTTCTTTTAAATATGTGATCTGAGAATTACTTGAATGCCACCTGCTACAGACTTTTTTCTGTTTGCATTTGATTTTAGGTGTTAAAACTCATAATCAATGGTATAATCTAGGTAACTGGTCTGATAGCTTTATTGTGCACAAAAGCAAATTAGCTGTGAACACGAAAGAAATGAAAACCCTTTTTTGATGAAATTTTGATCTTTTTCTGCTAACAACTGTACACCTTCTTCAACTTCCTTGTTCTTTCAGAGCCTGTGTCCAGTTACTGTGTCTTTTTCCCTCATTCAGGAAATCACAAGGTTGAGATCTAGATGTAGTAAATTTCTCTGTAGATAGCTAACTAAGCAAAATTGAGCTCTTGGGGTTTGGGGTTCTTTTTGATCATTCAGCCAAAAGAAAAAATTTAAAATTAGCTTACAGCATTTGATAGACCCAGACAGCTTAACTTTTACTCTGAGACAAAGTGGTACAGTTACATGGCTGATTGGATAGAATGGTGTTTAGATAACCTCTCTTGCAACACTGAGAAGAGAGAACAAACAGCTCATGTACGTTAGCAGCTGACAATCAGATCAGTAAGTTTACTTTCAGGTAGTTTCAAGAACCAGGAACTATGCATCTATATGGCAGATGGATTTTGAGCTCTAGAGGTGATAATTGTCTCCCTGTGCCCATTGCTTTTGCTGGCTGATTGGAAATACTGATTTTACGTTGTTTACAAGTCTAACATTGTCTATACTAGCTATGACAGAGAGGGTCTGCTCATACAATCACAAGTGCCAAGTTTCAGGGGCTTAGCAAGTTATGTTTCGCTAAGTGGTTTATGCTAATACATTTTATTTTGTGTTTGCAATGACCAGAACACCGTGTTTGCTCAGTTGTTAACTTAGCCAGAAAGTGGTAACTGGCTAAGTTTTGGCAATGTGCGCGCTCGCAGCCGCATTACTAAACCTTGAGGTTTCTATGGATGGCTGGCACAAGCCATAACTGCCTGCTACAACTGGAGATTTCCATTCAGATTCTGTGAGGTTGAACTTGTGAAGCAACTACCAAATAGATCACAAACGTCTTCTTTCCTTTGTGGAATGTACTGGCTGTTTCAAGCATATTTAGTGAAAAATTACACTCCATTTTTAGCCTTGTCGTAAGATATTCATGCTCTAGTGATTAATTGGCAAGTAGGGATGACACCCATGAGGGATGATTATGTCTAAAGATAAAATGTCATTTGTCTCACATACTTTTACATTTTCATGCTCCTGTTTTACATGGTACTGGAGCAGCAAGTATAAAACTGGAATTGCACTTCACTTCAGAAGCGTGTTAGCCAGCAGGACCCTCAGATCAGCTCTTCTTACTTTGTGGCTTCTTTCATTTCCTTTCATTTCCTCACCTTTCATGAGAAATGATGCCAGGTGATTTGTTTCAACCCTCATTTTTCAAGGAAGACTTGTGCTGACAAAAAGATGGGCCATATATTGTGGCAGAAAATGTGTGTGGAGGGGCTCTTAATTCTTAACGTGAAATTCAGCAGCTCTTGGCACTTTGCTACCTTTTGTTGCCTAAAATACGCCCACTGCACGGATCACCCTGTGACAGCATCATTTGGAAATAGGTCAGTTTGCCAAGTATATAATGATTCTTTATCTCTGACTGCCTTACTAACTTTCTGAAAGTTAAGTTAGTAAGCTGAATTTTGGCTTTGATTCTATATATACTCAGAAGGTGCCATTAAACTCCCCATGTGGTGTCACGATAGTGTTGAAAAGCAGTTGAAGAACTTGCTCAAACAGTAAAGGGTAATGGCAACCTCATCTTCTCAAAGGGCTTAACTAAATGTTTTATTTTTTATTCATGTCTTTAGTCAACTTTCAAAGTGACCTTTATGTTGTAAGCATATTCTCAGAGGATCTTCTCTGTCTGGGGTACTGACAAAGAGATTGTATGATTTAGTGGCTACGATGTACTTAGACAAGTGCAGACAGACACAAATGTTTGAAAGAAAACACTGAATTAAGCTCCTGTGAAGAACAGAAATCCTGTGATGCTCACCAGGATCAGTGCAAGACAATTAGAGATTTGATTAAGATGAGGTAAAGCTGAGATGTGCAATTGATACCAGTGGGTAGGTTTGGTTGCTAAAATTTACAGCCAAGTTAATCCAGAAAGCTGCTCTTTGGGTACATTTCTGGCATTAATCACGTGCCTCTTGATCAGTTTTCATGTGTCACTTGCTCTTTGCCTGTTTGTTCTTGTAGCAGAAAGGGTAGTGATTTTGCTTTTATCACAGTAGAGTCTATTGCAGTCATCATCACCTGATAGTATAATCTCAGCTAAAATAAAATAATTTGCTAGATCCTGAGTGCTTAGAATAGCATTCAGACATCTAGCATTTTTAAGCTGCCATTGAACCCACCCATCACCTTCTAACATTTTATTTACTGATTGCTGTCTCTCTGCTTGACCTCCTTATTCCATCCAGTGAGGCAGAATTATGATAGAACAGTTACCATTTGTTAAGTTTCTAGAAAGCAGGTTTTCCCCGTGAGACAGTCAATTTGGAGTCAAGGGCCTCGACAAGGTGTTTTGTGAAAGAAAGTTGCACTTTTCATATTTCCATCAGGAAAGGTGGTAGAAGAGCAAACCATTGTAAAGACTGACACATTAACTCTTAGCAGAGGCAATGGTTTGATAAGTGCTATGCTGGGCACATATCCCTTGGCAACATTGGAACATAGGTTTTCCCTGTCCTGCTCTGTGCTAAGCATTGTAATTGAAAACCTCATTTTATTGGCAGTGACAGTCTGAAAAACTCCACTCTTGATTCAGTCCTCTACTTAAGAGACAATCTCCCCAGCTTTCTTCTTGAGAATGAATTGTTGTACTGGACCCCCACTATTATGTTACAGCTGCTTCCAGGGCAGCAGACGCAGGTCATGAAGTAAGAGATTCTTCTTCTGAGTTAGATTAATGAAGAGTATTTCAGTATTTCTTTTTTACAACTAGAAGAGACTGGCAAGATGCACTCGAAGACAAATAGTATCTTGAAATAACTCCTGGTTTTACTCCACAGTTGTTAATCATAGAACCATAGAATTGCCCAGGCCGGAAGGGACCTCCAAAGGCCATCTAGT